TAAATCATTTAATCTACCTTTTTCTTTTAATTTACAACAAACAAAATAATCAATCAAATCCTAAAATACAATCTCTAAAATCAATCTTAAAATATTAAGATTTAAACTTCAATATTAATTTCTCTTTTGCCTTTTAACAAATCAAATGCAAAATCTAACTAAATCATCCTATATAGGATCTATCCAAAACTGCACAGCCTAACACACCTTAGACTATTTTGGTTAGGACACGACTTGTAGCCCTAGGTTAGGCTTACATTTTCTTTTGTTATTCAGTATTTATCACGCACATGCTTTTAATATGCTATTATTATGCTTCCTGTTGTTACATTCTTACTTACATGCATTTTTTTTTTTTTTTTGAATGGCATCTACGCTCATTTGTGTATTTTTCTTTCGTTTTGTCTTGCGAGGTACATTTGGATGACTTGTCCGCTTGAAGCTTTTAAGTGGCTGCGCCACAATCTGGAATTGCTTGCTTGGAGCTTTAAGTGCAGCGCCACAAATCAGGTATATGATCTCTGCAACTTGTAAAGCAATTTTCTTTTAATTATATATCGAAACTGCTACACTTCACACACAACTTGTTAATAGGTATTCTAGCATGGTAGGTAGCCAGCCATAGGGTAGTTCACTAACGAAGCTTTGCCCATAGGTCAAAGCTTGCCCCCTTCTGTGAGCCCTAGAGACCATTAGGTCATTTAAGGCCTGTAGAAGTAGGCCACCTATTATGCCGGTTGGCATCGTTGTTTTCCCACACGAAGTGGGCATCGTTGTTTTTCTGCTAGGATTTTTGGCCTTTTCCGATTTTGGGTATGATACCCCCCTCCCCTTTTCTTTTTTTCTGTGAGCCTTAGAGACCACTAGGGTCATTTAGGCCTGTAGAGTAGGCCACCTATTTATGCCATTGGGCATTGCTGTTTTCCCACACGAAGTGGGCATGACTAGTGATGATTTTCCGTACGGGTACCTTGCCTGGAGGGTACCCTTAGATGTGTTTATTTACTTTTTCTGTATTCTGGATGTCATGCATACATCTTGTTCTTACACACTTTTCTCCACAAGCACACTACATGCATGCATTGCATTAGTGGACCTAAGGACATCCTTAATTGTACACTCTTTTCATGCATCATATGACGCTAGATATACTCCTTTGCATATTACAGAGTTTCAAAAAATCCTTGGATTTTTTCATTTAGGGGATTTAGGGGGGGGAAACCCCCCTTTACCCATCTTTCATACAGACTGGACAGCATGGATTTGATACGATTAGGTGGATTTAGCTGGCTTCCTTTGTCAGACAAGGAATAAGTCCAGATTGCATTAGTTAGGTCGTAGATGTTAGTGTTGTGCGTACAACACTACATCTTTTATAGATTTAGGGTCCAAAGGTGAGGGGTACGAGTATACCCCTATACACCTTATTGGTGGGTAAGCTTTCCTTCCTCCTGAAAGCTATAAATCCTACCCATCCGCGTCACACAGATGACGCCACTTCCTTCTTTCTCTCGTGCATGTCTGAGTGCGTTGTCCTTCTTTTCTCCAGTTTTCCCTTCTTTAGACCGGCCGGGTGTTGAATGAACCATGTGTGATCGATTGAGCCAAGTTGGGACCTTCTTCCTCTTTGATTAGGAAAGCCTAGAAACACCTTTGCACTAAACCCAATTGAGAAGATAATATAACATCCTTAATCGAGAGTTTTCCTAAGTCGAGGCTTAGGATGTAATTAACTACGGGGGCTTGCGCCCGTAGGAAACCGATCCCCACAATCAAATAAACCCTATTCGGTGCTGATGTATCGAATAGGGGAAATCTCGTGAATTTTGGGTTATAGATATTATTATCCATCGAGGTGTGTAGGTGAAAGCCGCTATCCTCCATGGCTAATCGTATCTATAACTCCATCTGCTCTTCCATCGGCCTGCTTGTGCCGAGTGTAAAGGCCTACGACCATTTTGTCCCTCGGGATAGTGTGATCGTATCCTTTGCATTCGAACCACACGAGCGGAATCCTTTCGGAGACCCACAGCAACTTTCTAGCACAAAAATTTCTAATTCAAAAAATTTTTGTACTAAAAAGTTAATTGAGAAAGCAGTAAGAAAGCTGTCCCAAACGTAGCCTGAGAGACTTACTTTATACTGCATGTCACATTGAAGGATGACCTAATTGGGTCAGAGAGCTGATATGGGGAAACTTATGTGCTATGTGGCTCAAAAAGTTACCATAGAAAAAGAGAGCAAATTACACAAAAGAATGAATCTGATGTTGGTAACCTTAGTGCTTCTTTGCATGCTAATGAGAAGAAGGATCATAACTAAGGTTTTATCTGAGATAATTTTGTCTGTTTTCAAAAAAAAATTGTGCTATAAAATTGTTGTAACAATTAGGTTTTGATATGAGTTCAAAATTAAATTTTTGGAATGACTTAGAATAATTAATACAAAAAATACCTTTTGAAGAAAAAAATTTTATAGGATGAGATTTAAATGGACATGTTTGTAGAGAGGTAGATAATTTTAATAGTATTCATGGTGGCCATGAGTTTGGAGCGACAAATGATGATGACAAGACCATATTAAATTTTTGTCTAGCTTATGATTTTTTAATTGCTAATACATTATTTAAGAAAAGGAATGAGCAACTCGTCACTTATAAAAATGGATATTGTACAACTTAGATTAATTCTTTTCTTATAAGAAAATTAGATCATTTAGATTGTAAAAATTGTTAAGTTATTCAGAGTAAAAATGTATGTACCCAACATCGATTATTAGTTTTAGACTAAGATAAATTGGCAGAAAAAAAAAAAGTGAAACGATATTCTAAGATTAAATGGTGACATTTAAAGAATATTATCAAAAAAATTATTGAGAGTAAAATTTTAGATCTTAAGATTTTGTCTGTGCATGAGGATGCTAATGTTATGTGGAAAAAAGAGACAAGTGATATTAAGAATATTGCAAAAGATGTGTTTGGAGTTTCAAAGAAAAAAACTCATAATAGTAAAAATAATTGGTGGTGAAATCCAAATGTACATGATAAGATTAAAAATAAGAAGATTTGTTATAAAGATTGGTTTAATTATAAAAACTTTGATAATTGGGAAATGTTTAAAGATGCACGTAAGGAATCTAAGAAAGCAATATGTGATGCAAAAACCTTAGCTTTTAGTGATTTATATAATAGATTATATACTAAGGATGGAGAAAGATATATGTATAAGTTTGTCAAACAAATAGACATGAGTAGTACGAATTTAGTTCAAGTGAAGTGTATAAAGGATGAAGATCAAAAAGTAATTTTCTTATAAGATGATATTCAACAAAGGTGAATGAGATATTTTGCTAAACTTTTTAATGAATAATATGAAAATACGATTCACTGTAGTGACTTTAGCACCCGAAATGAAAATAAAGATTTCTGCTTTTATAGGTTTATTAGTAAAACCGAAGTTTTAGAGGCTTTAAAGAAATTGAAGGGTGGAAAAGCTGTTGGACCTGATAATATTCCAACAGAGGTGTGGAAATGCTTAGGGAATGAAGGAATTTCTTGGCTTACTAAACTTTTTAATATTGTTTTGAAGACTAAAAATATGTCAGATGAGTGGAGAATGAGTGTGTTAATTCATATTTTTAAGAATAAAGGCGATGCAAAAGATTATATGAATTATAGAGGAATTAAGTTAATGTGTCATACTTTAAAACTATGAGAGCGAGTTATGGAGCATAGGTTGCGACGTGATACTAATGTTTCTCAAAATCAATTTGGATTCATGCCGGGTAAGTCGACTATGGAAGCCATACATTTATTAAGAGGTTTGAAGGAGAAATATGGAGAAAATAAGAAGGATCTACAAATGATATTTCTTGATTTAGAAAAAGCATATGATAAAGTTCCAAGAGAAGTGCTATGGAGCGTTCTTGAAAAGAAAGGAGTTAATAACGCTTATATTAAAATCATTAAAGATGTGTATGCAATAGCTATTACTTGTGTTCAAACACAAGGTGGTTTGACCAAGTATGTCCCTATTTTGGTTGGGTTACATCAAGGATTAGCCTTAAGCTCATATCTTTTTGTTTTAGTCATGGATGTTCTCACTAGACATTTGCAAGAGGATGTACCTTGCTATATACATTTTGCTGATGATATTCTTCTTGTTGATAAGACTAGAGAGGGAATTGAAGATAAACTTGAATTATGGGGGTCAACCTTAGAGTCTAAAGGTTTTAGCTTGAGTATATCTAAAACGGAATATATGGAGTGTAATTTTAGTAGTAATAGACCTAGTGAGGGGATTGCGACTTTCAGCGATAAAGTCATTAATAAGAATACACGTTCTAGATATCTTGAATATATTGTTCATAGTGATGGTGAAATAGATGGGGATATTCAGCAGAATTCAAGTTGGATGGTTAAAGTGGATGAATGCATTGGGCTTATTGTGTGATAAAAAAGTATCCCTCAAACTTAAGAAAAAATTCTATAAGATAGTGGTGAGGCCTACAATGTTTTATGGTGCTGAATGTTAGCCATTAAAAGAGAAGCATAATACTAAGTTAAGTGTGGCAGAGATGAGGAAGCTCAGGTGGATGAGTGGCTTTACCCTTATAGATATGATACAAAATGAGCATATTCGTGAAAAGGTTGGAGTAGCTCCAGTAGAAGATAAGATTAGAGAGATGGATGGTTTGGTCAAATAAAACGGCGGCCTTCCGATGACCCAGTTAGGAAAGTAGAGGTTTTAGATTTAACTTATGTTAAGAAAAGTAGAGGCAGACCTAAAAAACTTGATTAGAAAATATTAGAAATGATCTTTCTTTATTAGATCTAAATGATAATTTGACTTTTAATAGGACACAATGGAGAAAAAGGATTCATGTAAATTGGCCGACCCCACGAAGTGGGATAAAGGCTTGATGTTGTTGTTGTTGTTGTTGCATTCCACAAGACCCATTTACGGCAAAGTAAAATCTCACGAATTGATATAAAATCTACAAAAAAAAACATAAGTTTAATAGCTTTAATATCATTTTTCATCCACTTCTATATAGTCTATTAAATACAATCATAATTTTACAATATGCAGGATGAATTCACCACACGATTGACAGATGCAACATTGAGCCAGAGATCTAAAACAAATTTATGAACACAAAATGTTGGGAGAGTAAAGCAATGACAAATTTTCTGCATAATGTATGTTGCTTTCTTTGTCATTATCTGCAATACATCAACATTGTAAATTGCATCTTGATCATAATGTTGCATGTTATATGTCATAGATGTTTTCTTTGTTATGGAGCTGGTTCAATATATTCATAGAAAATGATCCATAGGAAACTAAGTTCAAAACCAAGCAAGGACTTTACGAATGGGTGCTTGTTTCATTCAATCTATTCGATGCACCAGCGAATAATATTCTGAGATCATATATAGAGGAGTTTATGACCGTGTATATGGATGACATTCTCATCTGCAACTAAGACATAAGAGGAGCTTCTTGTGTTAAATCTCTTAAAAGAAAATCACCTATACTTGAATTTGAAGAAATGCGACTTCAATAAGAAGGCACTGTTATGCTTGGACTTCAAAATGTTATATTCTCTTTATTTAACACACTGCACTCAGCTTGCTCTCTTCTTGATCTTGATCTAATCTCCTATGGTCCTAATCAAGCTCCAAAATATACAAACAAAAAGGTACACTATAAAGCTAAACTCACCAAATAATTTCATAGCAGAGTATGAACAGAATGGGAAACATTTAACATAATGACTTATGATGGAAAGCAATCAAATAAAAAACTTTAATAGCAAACATATAATGCCCTGGGCTTATAAGATTAATAAAAATACAAAAATAACACGTTAGAAGAAACTTTGAAATATGGTTAGCAAAGCATCCTGTGAAATGCTATTAAGCGCTGAAGGTGGCAATAGCATCCATCTCTTCCTGCAATAGTAGGGCATCTATGAAAACATCTAAGCTCTCACCTTCCATGACATCCTCAATGGCATGTTGAGTGATCCCAACACGGTGATCGGTGACTCGTCCTTGAGGAAAATTATATGTTCGAATCCGCTCTGATCGATCACCGCTTCCAATCTGTTCTTTAAAAAACAAATTGGAAAACCTTTAAGCCCATAATAGCGAGATGAACATCTCACGAGGAATAAATGGGCACTTGCCTGCTCTGAGCGGAGTTTTGAACGGTTCATGTGAAGTCTGGACCTTTCAATTTCATATAGTCTGGCTCTTAGCACTTTGAGTGCTTTGGCCTTATTCTACAAGAGATGAGGTCATGTACAAGTTAATAGTAACAAGCCATATAATATATATTTGTCAATAAACACGAAAGAAAACAATTTTTTGCTATGAGAATGTTGGGTCCGTTTGGGGCAGCTTTTCATAATTTTGCTTTCTATAAAATTATCACAGGTCTATTTAGCTGCCACTTCTTGTAGTTTCTCAAACATTTATGTTGTAGGAAGCCACATTTGGCAATCATATATGCAAGAATGTGATAACTATAAGAAAATTGCTATCCAACTTTTTAAAAGAAAAAAATCTAAAATAGCTACCTACATTAGATGTAAAAAAATCGTGTTTTTCACAATAATTCTACAATTACTTATAAAGAAAGTTGCAGCCGCCACAAATGAACCCAGAGTCTTTAATGAAAATCAAGATGTTGCTAAATACCATATGTTGTGATCTTTCATCTTGTATTGCCACTGCAATTCCAGTTGGAATATGAGTAATTCTAACAGCACTGTTTGTCGTGTTCACAGATTGGCCCCCACTTCCGCCTGATCTGTAAGTATCAACCCTCAGATCCTCGTTACGTACCTGGACGTCAACCTGCATAATCACCATAGAAAATGTCTGTCAGAATGCTAGTCATTTGAATATACATAGAACAGACATATTTGGAAAATATAAGTTGGCTATCTTGATGTAAGAAATGATACCAAATGTTAGAGAAAGAGATTTATCAACTTTTAGAAAATATTAGAAATTATTCTTTTTTATTAAATTTAAATGAGAATTTAACTCTTGACATAACAAAATGGAGAAAAAAGATTTATGCAGCTGATCTCACATTATAGGATATAGACTTGATGTTGTTGATGTTGTTGTTGATGTTGTTGAGATATGCTCATATTCAGTGGCGGAACCCTTAAGGGCCCGGGGGGGCAATTGCCCCCCCTAAAAAAATTAAAATTTTGTGTATAATATGGATTTTTAGGTAATTTGTCCCCCTCCATCTTTTTTTTACTCTTTATTATTGGAATTTTTAGGCAATTTCCCCCCCTAAAAAAATTAAAATACTATGATCTTTAGAAGATTGCCCCCTAGCAAAATTATACATATTGTATAGAGGTGTTATTACAAGGGTTTTAGGCAATTGCCCCCCTTTAAAAGTTTTAAAATATTATGGTCTTTAGGCAATTGCTCTCAGCATAATTAAACACATTCTATAGAGGTGTTATTGTTAGAGAACGATGAATCAAATACAAAGAGAAATAGTAAAGAGAATCTAAAAATATCCTTACAACAAAAATTTGTTCCGGTCGAACCCCGTTAAGGGGCGCTGTCCCCTTGAACCCCCGACACATTATGTTGAGGTGTCACCTTTTTTTTTTAAAGTACAATTGTCATTATATAAGTTGTTGATAATATTTTTAAAATGTATTATGTATTCAGGTACAAATGAAAAAAAAATGTATAAATTTTTACTTATAGGTTTGCCCCCCCTAAAAATTAAGGCTGGTTTCACCCCTGCTCATATTAAGAAAAACTTCAAATAACTCAGGATATATTTTTCTTTCTATTTCTACCATCTGAATGAAAGGAACACTAATTGTTTCTATGATTTAATTTTATCAACCTTGAATATTCATGGGTTCACAATCCTGAAGGGGAGAAGTCATCAATGATCAATCTTATTTTGATAGATTGGTACTTTCTTTGGATTATCGCAATCTTTTCTCACCCTCTACTTTGATTTATTTGACTTTTTATGAGTATTTTTTTCGTTGTTCTTTTATCTTTTGTAATTGTAATTTTTTTTCTTTCAATGAGAGGGTTACTATTACAATTATAATAATTGTAAATTTGATTAAAAAATGAATAATCTAATTAAGTAAATATGCATTTTTTAAATACAAAATCATGTTACTGATATGGCTAGCAAAAGTATCAATTGGTGGCTAAAATATTAATTTAACTTGAGTAGTATGAGACAAATTTAGTCCAAACATAGACACTGAGTTCGTACAATACAAGTTGACACCATTGGTGTTTAGCATATTTCTCCAATTTGGGGGAGGGAGGTCGCACGTGAGGGGTTATTTCTTGGTTTAGACCTCACACCCAAAAATCAACTTCTACTACTCCAAAACAATTATATCAAAACAAATTGCTCTTAAATAAAAACGTAGGTGAATGGTCCTCACCTCATCAGCCTGAGGAAGAATAGCAACCGATACCGCGCTAGTATGGACACGCCCTGACTTCTCTGTCAGGGGCACTCGCTAGCAAACAATAGAAAATAAATTACTGAATTTCATATAATGCAACACTTCAGGATAGTGATGATTTAGATTCAGAAGTAAGATCTAAAAAACACCTGAACCCTATGAATGCCACTCTCAAACTTGAGTTTCCCATATGCACCACATCCAGATACTGTTCCACTAGCTTCCTGTGATCAAAAAGTTAGTTATGGTAAACAACAGAATGCTTTATGATCCAACTAAAAAATATAAGATTCACTACGAGATCTTAAATGCAAAGTTGAAGATAGTGAGCTTGAATTCCTTTACAGAACTTGAATATAAAAGTTTAGAGCAAATTTGGTAGCAGATACAGAACTACAGAAGTAAATAGAAACCTTGTATCCTTTCAAATCAGACTCCATTATGTCAATAATTTCAAATCTCCATCCCTTTTTCTGGGAATATTTCTCATACCTGATATTCCAGACAGACACAAACTGCATAAACAAAAGCACTCACTCATTGTACATTAAAAGATTTAAAAACATACATCTTGAATATATCCATTGCAAATAAAGATGCCTCTTCTCCCCCAGTTCCTGTAAGAAACAATTACAGGTTATAAATTGGAAAGAATTTTTAAGTGAGAAACTGACCTTCCAACTAGAGATCAAAATGTATGCAACCTGAAAACATCATATTACCTGCTCTCACCTCAAGAATACAATCCCTCTCATCGGCTTCATCCTTTGGGAGCAATAATTTAAGCAGCGAATGAAATAATCTTTTCTCTTCCTCAAAAGCCTCAGCTAATTCCTCAGACGCCATATCACGCATATCTTTATCTTCAGAACAGTCAGACATTAATGACTCCAGACTAGTAATCTCCTAGAAATTAGAATGTTAAGTTCTTAAGCTTAGAAAGCATACTCTTAAGATTCAAATTCACTTTACAATTTAAAACTGTGGTAATATTTTTAGTCATTAGAATTACTAATTGACCAAGATCTAGAGAAAGGCCAAAGGTGCAAGGAAATTATAGGACACTTACACCTATGGCCATTGAAATAGACCATAAGTTGTTTTCATAATATAAAGAGTAATAATGTTATGTCGAAAAGCAAGGCAAATAACAATGGTTAAGAATTAGTAAGAAAATTAATTTGGACTCAACGAGAAACATTTCATGAAATAAAAAAGAAAAAAGAAAAATTGCGTGGAAAACAGTGACTAAAGTCTATGTTCTTACAGGTTCCATTCTGCATAATCCAACTCAACTGACAACCATTGGATCTTGGATGCCATGAAGGAAGCCGCCAGATCATTTAGATTTTCTCAAATGAAGCATACTTGTTTTATATTTATAATAATTAAAATAACATTTACATTCGAAGCTTTTAACTGCACAACATATTGTTAAATTGGTAGTTGTAAAACTAAGCTTGATAATAATACCGCAATGGCCATTATCAATATGAAGAAAGATCACAATAAGTACATCAATTTCAAAAGTTTTGAATCTAACAAATACATTTCATCTCACAAATATGATTATTCAGAACAAACCGCTTAAATGCTAACTTACAAGAACTTCTAAGAGTGGCAAGACATTTCAAAATTATACATGTGAAGAGAAACATAATGAACATACCTTCCTTTTGGCCCTCACTTCCTTAATTAGTTCCAAAGAGCTCCCGAGTTTCCGGAGCTCCTTGTTAGCTCTTGAATACTCAGTTGATGTGACTGCTGGCTGTCTTCATGACATCAGAATCATAAAATGGAGGCATAAGCAGGAGGTTAATTTATTTATCATTCAACACTGTTGCAGCATAGCAAATACATAATGGCTGTTAATGGAGGCTAACTCACACCCGTTTATTATGTTTTACATCACTTTAGTGCAATTAAAAGTATAGCTATAGTCAAATACAAAGGATAGAAGATGAACAAGTATTATAGAAATTCTTTCTTATTTTGGTTGTGGGTTGAGGGGGAATAGAAATGCCTGTATAGTTGCATATAAACATTATATATTTAACACTAAATTAAAATAGATCTATTCTCCCAGTTATGGCCAAGAATGCATGGGAATATTGAAAAATTGTAATGCAACAAGAATGAAATTTGATAGAACAAATCCCAGGTTGCATCATCTCATCTTTTAACCCAAATAAAGAGGTTGGTCTCTAAAAGACGGTTTGGGACACTGCAACTACAAATTTGTAACACCTAAATGGTTAGAGATGAGAATTAAAAAAAAAAAAAAATTTTGACCAAAATCCATGCTGGTGCATCAAAGCACAAGTTTGTATTTACAAGACCACAAAATGTAAAAGAGTATATTATATCTTTAGTTGAAATTTTATATTTTGATACTTACAGTAAGTATGGTAAATAAAGCCATTTATATGTAAATTCATATATGCAAGTATTCATAAACATGTGCAATTATTTAAAAATGCATGCCTACTCTGAAAATCATGAAACCCAGAGTTGTTAGGTACCTGGTTAATTTGATCATGAAGAAAAGCACTTTTTTGCTCTATTGCTATCATACTTTGTTCCACTATCTTAAGGAGATCTGGGGAAAGGTGGACAGTGATTTCTACAAAGAATAACAAGGCAATCATGAAAAAATAAAAGAAACATTGTTTTAACCATACGAAATCAAAGATCAAGATACACCTTTTTTCAATTAGCCATTTTTTTTCTATACATCATCGAAATTTATGACATGTTAGCTAATTTACAAAAAATTATCAAAAACAAATTAAAAATATAGCATTTTGGTATCAAATATTACCTAATCAAAATCATTAGCAGCAGTAGCCGCCTCAACTAAAGTATGAAGGATTGTCTCATGAATCCATCTTCAAAATCCATCCGGAAAAGAGGTTTTGGTGTAAGCTATATCATCTCATATCATAAAAGTGTTATCTTCAAGAATCCACATCATAAAATGACTAATTTCCTAGGCCAGTCATAGGATGCATAAGGCAGCAGCCAAAGAAGATGGATTGAAGGTTGTAAAAGGAATAGAAATAATACTGTAATAAACAGTATTCAATTTGCGAATGATGCCCTTATATTCGGTGGATATTCTAGATCTTAAGTTTTGGCTCTTAAAATTATTTAGCTTCTTTTCCATGAGATTTCTAGCCAAAGAATTAACTTATTTAAATCTTTTTTCATTTAACATGATGGCTACAAAGAGAAAGGTCTAATGATTGCCAAAGCGTTGGGTTGCTCTTTGGTATCACGTCCTTTTAAATATTTGGACCTCCCTCGTGGTTCTAAAACTTTACGGAAAGATCTTTGCAATCCAATCATTACAAAAATTCATAAAACATTAGCTTCTTAGAAAGGCAAATTTCTTTTGAAAGGTGACTGATTTGCTCTTATTAATTCAAATTTATCCATTCTACCTTATTTTTTCTCTTTAATCTAGGTACTCAAATGCGGCATTAATAAAATTGATAGATTTAAATTTTTTATAAAGGGAATGCAAAATACAGTGAACAAAACTTGGTTAATTGGAATAACAATTGTAGACGTAAAATTTTTAAAGAGCTTGGTGCGAAGAACCTTCATATTATGAATAGCTCTCTTCTTTCAAAATGGATATGAAAATTTATTCAAGTGAAGCCAGAGTCATTTGATATGTATCATCAAAAGGAAGTGTTGACATTTTTTTTTTCGCATTGACCAAGCCCCGATTGAGCCGATTCAAGCCCGACTGAGCTTGATCGCGCTCAATCAACTCGATCGAGCACCGTCGAATGCAAATTGACCAAAATTGAGCCCTAATTTAATTAAATTAAGCTCAATTTTATCAAATTAAAATCAAATTGGTCCAAATATAACCCAATAGAGCCTCGTCGAGCCTCATCAAACCAAAATTGATGTCAATTCGAGCCCAATTTCGCAAAAATTGGCTCAGTTGGACCTAGTCAGACCCGAATCGACCCAAATGGATTTGAATTAGGTCCAATTTGGACCCAATTTCAGCCCAATTAGTCAAATTCAAGTTCATTTGACTTACCAAATCAGGAAAATCACATAATCCGGATGAAATTAAATCATCGGCTTCTATATTTGTTTTCTACCTCTTTTCTCGTTGCTGTAGCAGGGAGATCCTGAAAGAAGAACATTTTAGGCAGCCTGTATCCCTTGATTTTGCGTATAGAGAGAGCGGGAGATGAAGAGAGGGATTTCATTCAACCTTACTTGTTGTGTGCATCCAGATTGAGCATGAGAGAGGGAGAAGAGGAACCGTTCAGTCCAACTTGCAAGCCTCCCGCGTTCAAAAGAAGAGGCGAAGGGAGAAGAGCCTTTGTGCGTGCCTAACAGAGTGGATCGAGCGAAGGTAGAGGGTCGACCAACCCTCTACGTGCAGTTTATGTACCCAGCTAAGGAGGTGGAGCGGAGACTCCCGTTCGGCCTGCTTGCGACGTCTGATCCAGCAAGAGAGATAGTAGAGAGGAGTGGAGGGTCTCTTTCTTCCCTTCATGCGTCTTCTTGCGATCAATCGGTCCATCCGAGTGAGGAGGGCAAGAGGAATTGAGCATACATCCTAGCCGACCTAACCAGACAATGACACACAACTCTTGTTCGTGCGTCTGGAAGCCCGATCGAGCAGGACATGAACCCGCAAGTGTAGCCAAGCTTGATCAAGCAGTGTGAAGGGGTCGTCAAAGTACTTGGAGGCCGTTTGCTTGCTGTAGGAACCCCTTCTTCCTTCCATTCCAACCCCAGTGAGATTATGATGGTGAAATCAACTTTCGGGAGCATTCAAGCAAGTGGAGGCAGCAATCCAGAGCTTTTGGACAGCAAATTTGCCTTCCGAAGGAGCTTGGACAGCAGCTTGCCACTTCTCTTTTCCATTTTCTCGCCTTTTACAGGGCGAGTGGATTGTTGTCTACGACGTGATAGCCCGGCGAGGTAAAACTCCTCAAACTTAGGCAAAATCTAGGTCTCCAAGCCAATGTTTTTATGGTTGACACTCTCCATGTCGTAGATCTATAGAAAATCTCGCATTTAAATTTCAAACCCAAGAAAAATCCTGCGTTTGTTGTCCTCTCCACAAAACAATGAAAATCCGGCAATTTTCGCTTGTTTGCTCTCAAGAGCAAGCCCGAGGAGGACTCCGAAGCACGTATTGTTGTTGGATCGGTGTTCAACAACCTCCAAATGCATGAAATAGCATCATGTTGCCTTCCAACGCCTTTGCCTACAATCAAAACCTAGGTTAGATGTTCAATTCCAAATCAAACATCAATGCTTGGGATTTCAAGGGTTTCACACTCACCACCAATCCAATGTTAATATCATGACAAAATTGGCATGTATACATTTAGAAGAGCTTGCATGCTAACATTGGAGAGCCTCTAAAAGTTTGGTGAGTATGTATGATGGATTTGTTTGATTAAAAGATTATATATGTATATATATATATGATTAAATCAATGTGAGATTCACCACAGACCCTCAAGGGTCTATGTTGTAAATTTTACAATACATATGATCAAATGAATTCATGATCATCATCTTCATCAAA